CAAGGCAGTTAGAACAGTTGCTTTTGTCAACATTTACGCATTTACATTCCACACTTCATACATACTGACGTGGCCACGTCCATACACACAGACCATGCATACATATCTCTCCTTTTGCCTATGTTATGATTAGTTAGTTTGTTGAACTGAAACTTCTTTAACAGAACAACTCCAGTCAATCTTTGAATTAAAACAAAAGGTTGAAAAAGTCCTGTATGTCCCTCATCATTTCTTCATTAGAGAAGTTTTGAGCTACACTCAGGGGCTACAGCCATACCCACTCCTTGTAATTCTGTAGATGCAAAGTGGAAAGGCCAGGCTTTTGCCAAAAGTTTTTAGAGATGACTCACAAAATTGACCTTAAATTTGTATTAATAACCTACCCCATATAAATGTAACCAAACATTTTTATTTTATATACCTTTGCCTTTTTCTTTACTGAATACTAATACCTCATTTATTAAATGTTACCAATTTTTTTAATTTACCCATCTTTAATCTATCCTCCCATTGAGGATGATCCTCCAATCCACCCTCCAACTGAGGGCAACTTTTCATCTTAGGTTCCCTTTCTTTTTTGACCTTTATTAGGTGAGGGCCTATACATTTAATCCAATCCACCCTTTAACTGAGGGTGATCTCTTAGGTTCCATTTTTTTCCTGACCTTTGTCAGGCAAGGGCCTAGACATTTAATCCAATCCACCCTTCAACTGAGGGTGATCTCTTAGGTTCCCTTTCTTTCCTGACCTTTGTCAGGCAAGGGCCTATACATTTAATCCAATCCACCCTTCAACTGAGGGTGATCTCTTAGGTTCCCTTTTTTTCCTGACCTTTGTCAGGCAAGGACCTAGACATTTAATCTGGTACCCCTAGCTTGGTACCCCCTTTTTAATACATACTTATAGCCTTACTTGTTGGCTATACTTTTAGATCTCTGAGTTTTCCTTTACGTTCCTGACCTCAGTGGATCAGGTGAAAGACTGGCCTTATTTATTAACTTTACCAATTTTTTAAATTTATCTATCTTTAATCCATCCTCCCATTGAGGATGATTTTCCAATCTACCCTCCAACTGAGGGCAACTTCTTAGGTTTTGCTTTTCTTTTTTGACCTTTGTCAGGCAAAGGCCTAGACATTTAATCTGGTACCCCTAGCTTGGTACCCCCTTTTTAATACATCCTTATAGCCTTACTTGTTGGCCAGTCTTTTAAATCTCTGTTTTCCTTTACTTTCCTGACCTTAGTGGATCAGGTGAAAGACTGGCCTTATTTATTAACTTTACTAATTTTTTAAATTTATCTATCTTTAATCCATCCTCCCATTGAGGATGATTCTCCAATCCACCCTCCAACTGAGGGCAACTTCCTAGGTTTCGCTTTTCTTTTTTGACCTTTGTTAGGCAAAGGTCTAGACATTTAATTTGGTACCCCTAGCTTGGTACCCCCTTTTTAATACATACTTACAGCCTTACTTGTTGGCTATTCTTTTAGATCTCTGAGTTTTTCTTTACTTTCCTGACCTCAGTGGATCAGGTGAAAGACTGGCCTTATTTATTAACTTTACCAATTTTTTAAATTTATCTATCTTTAATCCATCCTCCCATTGAGGATGATTTTTCAATCCACCCTTCAACTGAGGGCAACTTCTTAGGTTCAGCTTTTTTTTTTTTTTTTGACCTTTGTTAGGCAAAGGCCTAGACATTTAATTTGGTACTCCTAGCTTGGTACCCCCTTTTTAATACATCCTTATAGCCTTACTTGTTGGCCAGTCTTTTAAATCTCTCAGTTTTCCTTTACTTTCCTGACCTCAGTGGATCAGGTGAAAGACTGGAGATTTTTTATTTTATTTCTTATTTTACCCTCCTTTTTTTTTTTTTTTTTTTTGACTGGGTTTCTCTCTATCCTTTTGGAGGCTGTCCTGGAACTCACTCTATAGACAAGGATAGCCTCCATCCTACCTACCTCTGTCTCTTGAGTGTTGGGATTAAAGGCATATGCCACCAACACCCGACTCTAAAGATCATAGCGAACATCCTTCCAATCTGGGACATTTAAGCCTCCCCCAGCAATGAACCATGGACTCGCACGTTCAATCCATTTTAAAAAGCCTTCCAAGGTTTTAGACTTTACTGTAGTAACTTTTTAACTTGATACTGTAATTCAAGCTTCCCAGAACTATTTCCCATGGTTTCTTTTCTTTTTTCCCCAATCTGTCCCTGGCCAGAAAAAGAGATGAACCCGCTCACTTACCTCACTTTCAAGATCTCAGTGGCATCCTCAAATTGTCGCACCTGCTGTGCGGCCTGCATTCGAAAATGTAGTGAGGTGGTCGGGATAGATGACACAGAGACCGGTTGGTTGCTTTAAGAAAACTTTATGTTTCCCAAGTCAGCTTAGGAGGAGACTCCAAGTCCGCTTAGGAGAGAGAAGTCTCAGGAGAAGTCTCTCCAAGAAAAAAGAGCTTCCCTTTTTAAGGACTTCTGTCATCCATCTACATACAATTCTTTCCAGACTTCTCACCCTCCTGGCTGGTGGTCTAATCTCTGGCCCCAGAATAGGGGAGACACAGTAGGGGAACAGGAAGAGGCATCTAGCCATAGGGGGTGTGAAAGTCATGGTATCTCAGTGAGTGAGCCCTTATCTGAGCCCTATCAAGAGCTTTATAGCACTGAATTGTTTTCAGTAAACATTACACAGCTGCCTGCTCCCAGGCCGAAGGGGAAGTGGGTTTCTGCTCAAGGTCTGGTGTCCCCACATCCACACACACTGTGAAAGAGGACCAAGCCTTATCTCTAGTGACAAGAACAGAAGAAACTATTATGTGTTAGCATTTTATTACTGAAACAAAATATCCGATATAGCCTATGATTTTGAGACAAGGTCTCACTATGTAGCCCAGGCTGGCCCCAGACTTGCAGACATTCTTTTGTCTTTGCCTCCCAAGTGCTGGGATTACATGTCTAAGCCACCATGCTTGTGTTTCCATGATATCTTTTGGTATCCCTATAGCTTGGTATTGTCTTAAATTCCTCCTTCTTGTGGCCTTAGTTCAGGTTTTCCCTAAAGTAGCAAAGAACACATTTGAGAATCTTCAATGGAATTCCAGCCTCTTTCCTCTCCTCTGCTCTCCCTCTGCCTTACCTACGCCGCAGTGACACAGCTGAGTCAATCTATTCCTTCCCAATGGGGCTTCCTTTACCCCTGGGCACAGTACTTAGTCCCTTGGAGCCTCCATTGCTTCATGTATAAAAAATACAATAATGTTATTTTCCTTGTGGAGTTATTGTGTTAATTCAGGGATTTGAATCTAGGTGTGCAAATGTACACCTTTAATCCCAGGAGGTAGAGACAAGAAGATTATGAGTTCATGAACAGTCTGACATACCAAATGAAACTATCTTAAAAGAAAGGGGAAAATAGGAATTGGCAATGTTTTTTAAAGCTGTATACTGGAGTGTAAGTTCCCATTTATTCTTAGCAGAGAGGAATGATTTCCAGATGCAGGAGCCTTCTCTGCTCTTTCTGATTGTCCTGTATTTGGTGAGAAGATTTTAAAAGAGCCTAGCATATAGTAGTGACTCAGTAAATGCTTTCTGCACAGCTTGACTTGAAACTTTAGTCCTTTGAAAGAGATATTAAAAGCTGAGTTTCTGTGCACGTGACTCATAGCATGGTGAAAGGATCCCTAGTTATCTACAAGGTGTGACTATCAGAAGGTCAGACTTTTCCATTCCTCTCCCCTTCTCTACCCCCACATGTTTCCTTGGATACACAGGGCTATACATTATTTTGGATTTTTAAGAGAGTGGAAGCATGACCCAGTTGTGAAGTATTGCATACAAGTTCTCTCCCAATCTAAATGATGGCTACATGAGTTGTTCAAATGTAAATATTTATCAAGGTGTATTTGATTTAAAATTATACTCCAATCTGAGTATATTAAATGTTCAACTTTTAAAGTGTGCATGCAATTTAAAGTGTCATATTTAAAGTGAACAATTGTTGAAAGTACATAATTCAACACATTTTTATATATACTTGAAATCTAGACATTGATTAAAGATACAAACTATTCTCACGAGAACCGAAAGTTCTCTTGCATCCCTTTTCCTGTGTGTTCGTCTTTCTGGTTTCTAGGACCATGGAATTAATTTTACTTGTTTAAGAATTGCATAGAAACAGGGATAATAGAATATGTACTTTTTAGTGTCAATTTTTATTCAACATAAGGATTCTGAAATTCTCTCCTTTTGTAATTTGTAGCCATATTTCATTCCTCTTTACTGTTGATTAATATCCCACTTTATGCATATTCTGCAGTTTACTCCATTTTGATGAACATTTTGATAATTTCCAGATTTAACTATTCTCAATAGTTTCTATGGATAGTTTCATGTTAGTCCCATCATGTCTATATATTTCATTTTCCTTAGGTTGGTCCAGGGAAGGTAATGCTGGGTTCCAAGGCAGGTGTGTGTTTGTCTTTACTAGTAATCACCAGACTGTCTAACATTTTGGCAATTTAACCAGGTAGTTTAACACTTTACCAGATAAACAGTTTTCAACAAACATCACATGTTCCTGTCTTTGCCAGTACTTGTTATTTCCAGTCTTCCTGAATATTTTGTACTTACAAGTAATACTGTGTGTGCTAGATTTTAATTAAAAGTACAAAAATGGAAATTAAAATGATAGTGGTTAATTCCAAAACATTAGAAATTTAAAGAGATTATTCAAGTAAATTTAAAATTGAATAAATTACCCATATTTTTGGATTGCTGCCATGAATCCAATAACTGAATATTGACTTGCTAAACTAGTATATATTTACTTTTATATTAAGTAGAAATAGTAAGATTAAGTGAAAGAAAAAAAAAGACCTGTTCAGTCTACAAAGAGACTTTTTTTTTAATCTCTGTTTCTATCTTGCTTTTGGGAAGAGGATTTAGGGTTTGGATTATTTTCACTAGAGCTCACCGTTTTTGTCTTTCTCATTTCAGAGCACAAATGTCCAGTGGATGAGCGAGAGCAGCTGGAAGAGACCTTACCCCTGATTCTGGGTCTCATCTTGGGTCTTGTCATTGTGATAACACTTGTGATTTACCACATCCACCATAAAATGACTGCCCACCAGGTGCAGATCCCAAGAGACCGATCCCAGTACAAGCACATGGGCTAAGGACCGTTAGGCAGACAGCCTCTAGGTTCTGCCCCCAAACTGGATCAATTAGAATGACAATGTCACTTTTCACCTGTATACAGGATACACCAACATAGCTACACTCCAACAGGCCGGGTCACCTGAGTCTTGCCTGGTCTCTGTCCATGCTTAAACCCAGGGATGGCAGGCAGGTCTTGGGATCTGTGGGGTTGAATGGTGACTTTTGTGTCCATGCTGGGGTGTAAGAGTGGGTGGGTAGGGTAATAGACAACTTCCATGCTCATGACGGCTTAGCTTTGACTCTCTGACTATGTAAGTCTACAGCACTCAGAAGGACATATGTGACCCTTACGTTTAGAAACTGGAAACACTTACTTTGGGAGACCTCTCTTTGCTCCCTTGGCCTCAGCTCACTTACAAGGTTTTCTTTTCTTTCCTCTTATTTAATATACTGAATTTAAAATCTTTCTTCTCACATATATTACATCCCAACTGCAGCTTCCCCTCCCTCCTCTTCTCTACCACCCACTCCTCTACTGTTTCCAGCCTCCTTCAGAAAAGGCAGGCCTCCCAGAGACATCAACCAAACATGGCATATCAAGTTGCAATAAGACTAAGCCCCTCCCATCATATTAAGGCTGGATGAGGCAACCCACTGGGAGAAAAAGGACCCCGCAAAAGCAGGCAAAAGTGTCAGAGACAGCACCCCACTCCCACTGTTAGGGGTTCCACAAGAAGACCAAGCTACACAACCATAACATATACGCAGAAGACCTAGGTCAGACACATACGGGCTCCCTGATTGTCGATTCAATCTCTGTGAGTCCCAATGAAATCAGGTTAGTTGTTTCTGTGGGTTTTCTTATGGTGTCCTTGACCCCTCTGCCTCTGCCTCCTACAATCCTTTCTCCACCTCTTCTACAGGATCCCACAAGTCACACCTAATGTTTGGCTCTGGTTCTTCACATCTGTTTCTATTGGGTGCTGGATGAAGTTTCTCTGATGATGATTATGCTAGGTTCCTGTCTATGAGTATAGCAGAATATTATTAGGAATCATTTCATTGACCTTTTTTTTAAAGCCTGTTATGTCTGGTTCTATCCTATGTGTTTAGGCTACCCTGCCTCTGGTTCCTGGCCCTCCAGACAATGTCAGGGGTGGGCTCCCTCTTGAGGCATGGGTCTCAAGCTGGACTGGACATTAGTTGGCCACTTCTTCAATTTCTGTGCCACCTTTAGCACATCTTGTAGCCAGGACAAATTGTAGGTCGAATGTTTCCAGGCTGGGTTGGACTTACATGGTTTTCAATGCACACAAAATACAACCTCATGCTCCCTGCAGCACGATCCATGAAAGTGATCTACGCTTCTGGCTGGCATTCTGCATGTCTAGTGATTGTTTTGGGAATGTTCCACTGCTACCTGCACCAAGTGACTTTGCAGCACAAGAACCCGTTTAATGTCACTATGCACAGTTGTTTGGAATTCATAATATGTCAGGTCCAAGTGAATGGACCTAAAGAATCAGTCCATGTGAGTTTGCTTTTGAAAATGAATTAAAAAAAACAAACTACACTCTGGCCTTTGGCTGTCTTTTTGAAACAAGAAAACAAATAAAACTACAATGGCTTCTTTAGTAACCAGAGAAGAACATAAGATTAAAGCTGATATCATTATTTTTTTGTAAGAGGATAAACAAACACGGGGCAAGGATGAGATGAGGAGAATGTTGGTATTTCGCAGCTGTCTTAGGGTTTCTATTGCTGTGAAGAGACATCATGACATGGAAAATCTTATAGAGATAAATTTTTAATTGGGGCTGGCTTACAGTTCAGAAGTTTAGGGCACTGTGCAGTTGGAATTTTTTTCTTTGGGTTACCATCCAGCTTTCAAATAAAGACTTGGAGACTTCTTATTAATTATGAATGCTCAGCCTTAGCTTATGCTTCTCCCACTAACTCTTTTACCTTAATTTAACCTGTTATGAGATTTCTGCCTGGGCACCGTCATGGCCTTAGCCCCCAAAATAACACATAGAGACTCCATTAGTTACAATACTGTCAGCCAATGTCCAGAGCTTCTCATTGGCTAGTTATGCCTTATTTATTAACCCATAATTACTAACATATATTTTTGTAAGGACTTATCTTCCTGAGAACACAGCCTCATGCTTCCTCTCTTCCCGGGATCACATGGCGATTCTCTACTCTTGACTACATTTCCCAGAATCCTCCTCGACTCCTAGTCCCACCTTTCTTGCATCCCTATTAACCAACAGTGCTTTATTTACCAACCAATGGGACAACATATTCACAGAAGGGCTGCCCTATCATTAACCTGTTTCTATTCATCTACATTTTGCCTAAGGGCATTTTACCTTTATTTCATTCTGTATGTCCTATATTCCTGCTTCTTCCTTGTCTGTCTGTCTGGCCCTTGGAGTCTCCCTGGTATGTGGCACGAATAATAAAAACCATAGACAGATATTGGGGTTCAAGCTGAAGATCAGAAAGCAAAGAAGTCAACCACTAAAGAGTTCTTACCTCTACCAAGGCTGGGGCAATCCTGTCCTCAACATGACTGGAAACTGAATGCTGCCTGATATCCTGAACCCCTGTCATTTATAGTTCTATACTGCTGGCTAACTAGTGTGGCTGCTGGGATTAAAGGTGTGTGGCACCACTGTCTGGCCTCTATGACTGTGGCTAGCTTTGCATTCTGATCTTCAGGCAAACTTTATTAGATCATAAACAACATATCACCATACTGGTGTCACTTTTTCTTTTTTCCCCAAGCCTAAATTTGCTACTTTTGCTACCCTGAAGTCCCACCTATACCTCCTCCCTTGCTATTGGCTGTTCAGCATTTTATTAGACTAATAAAGTACCTTATACAGGCAAGGAAAAAATAGCAACACATCTTTACATAATTAAACTATGTAATACATCTTTACATAGTTTAATAATTGTATTATATCTTTGCATAATTAAATATTCCACATTTACTCCTTTTTGTCTAAATAAAAAGAAAGGTTTTAGCTTTAACATAGTAAGACTATATACAACAAGAAATTCACCAAATAAGAATTATGTTTACAATATCCAGTCCATTTGCATTTGGCAAATATAGGAAAAATACTCCATTATCTATCCTGTCCTGCTGAGTCCAAAGTTGTATATCCAATTTACTTACTATGCTAACTTTTATCCAACTCAAAGTTATCTTTTTAGACTTCAAAACATTTTCTTAGATAAACAATTTAAACTTTTATGTTTCTCAACCTTATAAACTTTAAATCTCTTATGTAAGTTTCTTTTCTGAATTTAGTAACAAGGGAAAATTTTTAACTATCTCATCTTCAACTCCAGCAGAGACCTGAAAAAGGATATAATATTACCTGAGTAAACAGGAAGTATAGAGCAAGCAACTTCCAAAACTTGAGAAAGGACAAAGATATCTGGACAGTCACCCAAGCGTCCTCTGCGATGTTGGGACATCTCTCTTTGACCTAAAGTCCTGGAATATCTGACAGACTTTTCTGTGAAGCGGGAAATTTGAAGGACGGAACTACTTTGGCTTGAGAAAGTTATGTTCTGCTTGCCCGGTATACTGTCAGCAGTTGAGGCAAGGACAGTTTCTTTGCCAAACAGATAGCTTTGCCATAATGAAAGCAAACTCCATATGGAGATTCTTTTATACTCATCATTCTTTTATGAAGTAGATTGGTGCTGCCAGGAGCAGATGTGTGTCATTGTCATGAAAAGCCTTAGGTTATTAAACATCTGAAATGCCATATTCTGTAAGTCTCTGAAGCATTAAAGATCACCTATCTATCTAAAATATATCTGCTTAACCTTGAAAACATACCTAACATGACTACAAGTTTGCTTGTTGTAGATGACTAACTACTAACCTGCATTTCTTAATTATCCTAAGCAGTTTGTAATAGTTTTCAAAGTCTAGAACTTTATATTACATTTTTTTAAATTTTATTTTCCAGTTTCAATTTAGATAAGAAACAAGGTTGCTTCACAAGTCAGTTCCAGGTCCCTCTCCCTTTCCCTCCCCTCCTCCCGTGCCCTCCCCCCAACCGCCCCGCGCCCCCCCCATTATCCCCTCATTCCCCCAGGGAGGGTGAGGCCCTCCATGGGGGTGTCCATAGTCTGTCATTTCATATAGGGCAGGGCCTAGACCCTTCCCCAAGAGTTCAGGGTGAGAGTGCACCTCACATTGTTCTATGGGAGTCCAAAGTCCGTGTGTATACTTGGGATGGGTACTGATCTGCTGCCCAAGGCTCAATAGATTCCCTAGGCCTCCTCACTGACACCCAGATTCAGGGGGTCTTGATCAGTCCCATGCTGGATTCCCAGGCTGATGCCTGGGATTCAAGAGTTAACCTTTGTCTGGTCAGCTGTTTCTGGGGGTTAAACCAGCCCAGTCTTAATCCCTTTGATCATCAGTCTTCCGTCTCTGTTACTGGCTTTCTTGAGTTCAGCTCAGTACTTAACCAAGGGAGTCTGCCTCTTCTTTGATCAGCCACTAAATGAAGTTTCTGTTTCCCAGACTATCTGGCCATAGGATTGTAGGCTGGCACTCCCCAGATCTATGTCTAAAATCCATATATGAGAGAGTACATGCCATGTTTCTCTTTTTGTGACTGTGTTACCTCACTCAGGATGGTTTCTTCTAATGTCATCCATTTGCCTGCTGAGCTGCATAGGTACAATATCTTAAACAAGAATAGAAACATATTCAGTATGACAAAAATATCCTTAACTTTGTATCAACGTATAAAAATCCATGCCAATGTAAAATATTTTAAATGAATAGTTGTCATTTTATCCTATATTCCTATTTCTCCACTAAATAATAACAAACATCCATAACCCACTGAATTACCAAAAAATATTCACACCACCTCTTGGGAATGTGGGTATTGTATTCTATAGACTGATTCCTGTTGTCTGGGGGTGATGGTATCCTCCTCAGGGAACCCTGAGAAAATTGAGATAATTGTCAGGTCCTAGGAAAACTAGCTGTAACGTTTGGGTTCAGTCTCTGTATAATGGGAAAGTGCAAGGCTGATCTGAAGTCCTGGCTAGAATAGTCTGTCAGGTTGAACCATCTCAATTAGCAGCCTTGAAGTTGTTCTGAATGCAGAACTCTGAGGAAACTTCAACAGAGGCACTCTGAAAGGCTGGATCACCTGTGGTGTCTTGTCCCCTTGCTTTGAAAACACATAGTCTTTCAAAAGTAACACACACATCTGCATTAACACAAGTATGGATTGTGCATTGTACACAAGTCAGACAAAGATGTTTTTTGTTTGTCTGAGTAGATAAAAGACATCTGTCAATTTTATAAGTTAGTTTAGATTATATAACCAAATCTTATCCATGCCATATGAAAGGATGGCATGTAGTAACACATCATGATGACTTTGTAACCAACAAGATTTATCATGTCTCATCCAGTCAGTGTCAGAGCTGTTCCTATGTCAAGGGATCATCATGTATGTCATGTGTCTTATAGTTTTTCTAAGTTTGTTTTTTTATGTCTGTAGCCAAGATTTTTCAGATGGTCTCCCAATCAAACCCGATCTCTATTAATTTTGAAGGAATCAACAGACTTCATTTCCCATGGAAATAAAAGCATATACCTCTCCCTCAACACAATACATTTTCTGAATTCCATTTTAAAATTAAGACATCCCCAATTTATCTAGACTGCTTTAATTCAGAAGTTCTTTTTACAGTCCCATGTCTCTCAGCAGCTGCTGTTCAGTCATCAGCATTCAAAAAACTCAATGTCAACAAAGCATTATACAGGATTCAGACTCCGCATGCATTTCCCATCTTTATGTGGCTCATTCTTTTTATATTACTTTACTCTTTTTTAATGATTCTTCTTTATTGTTTTAAACTATTTATTTTTTCCTATGTCTGTCTATACCCATTTTCTTTCTTAAGTACCTATACACACGGTAGCCTGTTTGAAGGCTTTATTGGTCTGGACTTGTTTTACTGTATCATTCTCTGACCACATGAGCCAAACCTTAAACTGCTAAGTAGCAGCTAGGCCCTCCTCCATGGGGCTCTGGTGGTTGGTTCCACTCTCTCCTTGGGTCAAAGGGAGCCGAGCCTTAAGCACAAAGACCTGGTTGAGAGCTATGTTTAACTAGGAGTTGCTTTTGACCTAGAGCTGCATTTAACTGTCTCAGATCTAGGAAGCTGATGCCCATACTATGGCAAAAATTTTTACTTAGTTTGCTGTTTCTACTTAGTGTACCAGCTGCTCCAGTTGGCACACCAGCTGCACAGAAGCTCCTCTTAAAGGAGCCATATCTGTTTGTTTGTAATTTTTGTTTGTTTGTTTTCTGCTTCTCAGGCCCTATGTGGAAATTTGGGTCCCAAATTAGCTGCAATTAGTAGTTATAATTTTTTCCTTTGTGCCATCAACCCGCTCCCAAATAGAGACACAGAGACTTCTTATTAATTATGAATGCTGGATCTTAGATTAGGCTTGCCACAATAGCTCTTTTAACTTAACTTGATTTTATTCATGTATATTTTGCC